CAGCTTTCTTGAGATGAAGGAAATTCCTGGAAAGGGATGCAGCTATGAGCCATCAGCAGGCAATACTTCCAGAAATAAATTAGTGCTTCAGTCCTGAACAAGGAAGTGGGACAATGTACCACAGTATCAACTACATACCTCCAGTTCTCTCAGTGTTGATAGCATGCTTAATTTTCTGAAAATATTTTACTTCATGATATCTTTAGTGGGCTGAATGGTGGCCCCTCAAGATATATGCAAAAAGTACCTGTAAATATGATCTAATTTGGAAAAATGCTCTTTGCCGATGTAATTAAGGATATCTCAAGAAGAGATCCTCCTGAATTAATGGGGTGGACCTTAAACCCAGTGACTAATGTCCTTATAAGAAACAAAAGAGGAGATGACACAGGGAAAGGAGGAGAAGTCTACAGACTGAAACAGCTAGCATGATGCTCACAGCTGCACAAGCTGGAAAAGCTGAGGAACAGATTATCCCCTAGAACCTTCAGAGGAAGCACAGCTGTGCCAACACCTTGATTTTGGACTTCTAGTCTTCATAATTGTGAGAAACTAAATTTCCATTATTTTAAGCCACCAAGTCGGTGGTAATTTGTGACAGCAGCCCTGGAAAATTAATACAATATCTTATACCATTTAATCGTTCCATTAAAAAAATGTATTTTTAAAACCCCCAGTAGGAGGAACAGTGGCATTGAGATACTTATGTCACCAGGTTCCTACTGAGGGGCTGCCAAGGCTTGGCTACACATCCATGCTGAAGGCCACAGTTCCTATTGGGAGGCTGTCTCCCTACAGCTACCCTCTCTGGTGGCTGTCTTCCATTTCCCTTCAGTCATAGGGAGGGAAAGTGTCTTCCCAATGTTGCTTAGCACCTGAGAACTATGCTACCCCTTGCCTCCTCTAAGCCCTGCTATATCTTGATAAGTAACCCTTTATTAAACTCTATTCAGTTATCACTTCTGAGTGTGCCTTCTGTTTTCTACTGAGACTAGACTGACTTGTCAACTCTGGGGTAATTTAGCTTCCAGGGCGCAACGACTTCAGTCAGTACTAAGCCACTATTGACAGCAAAACTCGTATTGCAGCTTTTCTGAGATTTTCTAATATTATGTGCCTATATGTAAGAGACCTGGATTTTATAATACTCGTTTTCCTATAGTCATAGCATTAGATCCTTTAACTCTCTGGCTTTCAAATGAAAGAATCTAGTCATTGGTACAGATAGGTTTGTCATCCTTATTTTTGTCTGTCTTAAGTACTGCTGTTGAATTTCCTCCCTTAGGTAACGAAAATTTCTCTATTTTCTACAGTTAATTTGACCACTTGGAAAGCCAGTCATAAAATGTCTCAAGATTTATATTCTCTCTGGTAGGGCAAATATTGTCTGCTTTTTTATGTGCTGCTAATTTCCTTCATCTTACATACTCCACAGGAGACCTATGGGTGATAATTGGTGGCAAATCTAATGGGCTTCTTGAACTGCTCATTGCTACTGTGGGCACCCCTCTCCTTGATAAGGCTGAGATAATTTCACTGGAGAAGAGAGATTCTTTATCTTTGTCTCCTCTACAGATCAATCCTAGTGCCTGACATTTAAGTGGAGCTCAGTATTTGTTTAGACACTCAGCAGAATTAAGAATATATCTTATTTTTAGAACTCTTACTAGTTTATATCAATTTTGTGGACTTTGTGAAATGAGTATGCTGTATTGTTTCTATTGATGGAAAATGGATTTACTTAAGAGAGTTTCAGCAAAAAATATTCATATAGTATCTATTATGTGCTCAATTCCATTTTAGGGGCTAAAAATATAGCAGTGGAACAATCAGACAGCCTTAGCATACCTTCTCCACAAAAGCACAGCCTGACACAAGGGCCTGCCTACAGTTACTTTGGGATGTAATCCTGTGGAACAGGAGTGGAGGCAAAAAGGAGTGAAACAGGGAAGGAGGGAAAGTCAATGCAAGGGTGCATTATCAAGCAGCTTACACTATGGCCCACTGTGTCTGGATCCCTCTGGGCACTTTCTTAAGATCTGTGCAAAATGCACGTTAGAATCCTTCACCTGAGCAACATGAGCTCCTGTTCCCCCTTGGTCAAAGGTTTCCCCATGAGGTGTTGACTCCCTGAACTTCCAAGGTCATACATGTGTATGCATAGATGAGTGGGATGAGGCCTCTACCCTCATCTATCCCCCTCCTCTTGCTGTCGGGGGCAGAGATTCCCAGGTCATAAAGTGAGAAATATTTAGGGCAGCTGAGGAGAGGTGCTTTCAAGGTTGTACATTTGAGCAGCCTGTTGGCTCCACAACAGCTGGAATGAAAAGATGGGTGTGCTGTTGTGATATAATAAGAAATATATATTTGGTCTAGGCCCCCGGTTCCTGGCACACAACCCCTGAAATTCTTAGAGTCTCTTACATGATGGATGTCTTTTTGTTTGGTAGCAACATGACTAATGACTGGGGAATCTGCGGTAGCCTCAGGGTGGGAGGCTGGTTACCAGGGAACCAACCATGTGATCAGAAGGTTGAAACTTTCAACCCTACCCCCGACCTCTGAGGAGGGGAGTGAGGCTGATGGTTGAGTCGATCACCAATGGCCAATAATTTAATCAACTATGCCTATGTAATAGAGCCTCCATTAAAACCTAAGGGACTGGGCATGGGGAGCTTCCATATTGCTGAACAGGTGGAGGTGCTGGGAGAGTAGAGCACCAGGAGAGGCATCACCTTTCCACATACCTTGCCTTAGGCATCTTTTTCATCTGGCTGGCGGGTCATCTGCATCCTTTACGACATGATTTACAATACACAGGTAAACATGAATAAACTGTTTCCCTGAATTCTGTGAGCCACCCCAGCAAATTAGTCAAACCTGAGAAAGGGGTCACGGGAACCCTGAATTATAGCCAGTCAATCAGGAGCACAGATCACAAGTTGGGACTTGTAACTGACATCTGAAGAGAGAGACAGTCTTTTGGGACTAAGCCCTCAATCTGTGAGATCCGACACTATATCTAGGCAGAAATGTGTCAGAATTAAATCATAGGACATCTAGTTGATATCCACCAAATAATTAAAAAACTGCTTTACATATGGGGAAAAAAACCCAGACAGCTGGTATCAAAAGTGAAATGCTGAGTGATGGTGCAAGAGAGTAGGAAAACCACTTTAATCTCTTCTCATCTTTAATACTGGGTTACAAGAATGTTTGGTTAGTCAAATGGTGACTAATAAATAAAGCGCCTGTCCTTCCCAGACTTACATTCTAGTGGAAAGTGACAATATACTAAAATAAGCAACTTAAGGTCTCTTGAGAATAAGCACTGTGAAGAAAATATAGCTGTTGATGTGACAGAGACCCATGGCAGGGCTCCTTTAGATAGCCATGAAATTCAGGAAAGGCCTCTTGGAGGTGAGAACATTTGAACAACCACAGAATGAAAGAATTCATTCATGTATGTAGCCTATGGAATAGTATTCCAAGCAGAGCAAATGAAAAGACCCTGGGGTTGGATGGGCACAGAGAGCTTCAGAGACAAAAAGGAAATAGGAGGAGGGTTGTGTAAGTGAAGGAGCATGGGGTCAAAGAGGGAGAGGAGGTAACCAGGGGCTCGTGGGGCCTTTAGGGCCATGAGCTGTGGTCAAGCATGCATACGCCCTAAAGACATAAGAAAAGGGGGACTTAGACATTTACAAAGCTGATATTTGAGGTGTGCTCCTCTCACAAGTAACTGTCAGGGTCCCTGACAGATTGTCCTTTGATATTTTATTTTACCAAGTGATACATCTGAATTAAGTGTGCTGTGAATCACTCTGCAGGACAGTGAGCCTAGTTAACAGCCAACACCCACATTTCAGTCTCACTTTGAGGTCTTTTCCTCATGATCATGTAAATAGTAACACTCATGATCTGATTAATGTTCCTTATGAAGAAAAAAAAGTCAAGGTAAAGCCAAACACTTCAATATTTTAAACATACATAACTATGATTTCAGGATGCATTTCTCACCATTGGGCACCAGGGTCCTGATTTATAAAACAAGGGAGTTGATTCTCCTGAGTTTCTATGTGTCTATATGGCTAAAGTGTGAAACGGATTAAATGTTCTTAATGCCAAGTAGATTCTTTCTCTGAAGCAATAAGGCATAATTTTATTTTAGAAAAAGAGCTTTGAGGATCTCCATCTTGCTTAAAAGAAACCTCCGCACACAGTGTTTTCTATAGTTTATTTGTCTCCATCCACCTCTAGCAACCCTGGAAATGTGGCCTTCCTTACTAGGTGCTGGGTAATTAGAGAAGCTTCCCCATTAAGTTACAGTCATGTATATTGGAGATAGAGAAGAGGCTCAAAAGAGAAAGAGTTGTTTCAAGATGTAAATACAAGACCTATAGTATCTTCCCTGAGAAATACAAAAGGGAAAAATATGTAATAAATGGCTAAAAAACAGTGAAAATAAAGTAAAATTAATACTGAGTTATATAACACTGGAATGAAGCTAATTAAATACCCTTAATTAAAAAATAGCATGGTTGGTTTCACTCAGAGTCAGTCAAAATTTCTCCAGGAAATTAAAAGCAAGCAAGAGAACAAACAAACAACAAAAACTTCTCAAAATACATAATTGTTTGAGATAAAAATATATTTATTGTGTGTGTGTGTGTGTGTGTGTGTGTGTGTGTGTGTGTGTGTGTGAATGTATGTATGTGTGTGTATACTTGAATATATATAAATCCTTATTTTTTCCTCTGTGATATACAGGTGTAGGTCTGTCGACAGAAATGTCATGGGAATGAAAACAAAATGTATGCTTTTTGTGTTGCTTCTTATTTGTCAAGATATTAGAGGCAATTTGCATTTTTAATTGAAGAATAATTGGTTCTTATTTAATATGTTATGAAGCTTAATGTATTGCTTAATGGTGTAAAAGACTCATCATAACTAGCACAGGATTTTTTATAGTAGACGTTCTGATCTTGGGCAGGACATTTTACCTCTTCAGGAGTCATTTTCTACATCTGTAAAATAAAGGGCTCGGTCTATGTTAAATGACCCACATTCTATAGGTTTTGATAGGAAACAGAAAACCTCTGTGTGCAAGCATGCTCATGCCTCTGCTTCTAAGACTTTCACAAAACAGGCAAATCTTTACTAAGTTAGACTTCTTTTCTGAAGGAAGGAGCATATTTTTATACACAACGATCTTTTTTCTTATGGTTACTGTCTGCAGACTGTGGTTCAGAACAATGTCCCTGGTCTCTGTAAGATCTTCAATATTGAGATAAAATTATATTCATGATAAGGTTTTCATTGAGCCAGAAATGTGAAACAATGCATTTTTAAAAGATGTTCAGCAACAAGGACTAATTTCTCTCCTACTTACTTCTCCTCCCCATTACAACCTCTCCTCTTCCAAGAAAAGAGTTTGGTTTGGCTCTCATTTGCCCAGGAAATGCTATTAATCACAATCTCCTATTCCCTGATAACATTACTTAATTGAGGTTGTATTGAACTATACCATTACTAAAAGCAACAAATACAAAAGTGTGCTCTGTCTCTCTCTTTCTGTCTGTCTCTGTTTCAGTTTGCTACTCAAAATAAATATCAGAGATTATTTACTATAATTATCCAATTGAATTATATATTTTATTTCTGCAAGTAAAATGCTAGGTGGAAATTTTATATATATCTTACCTAAAATTATTTTTTGTGCATATATAAAATGAATTTTTAACATGTATGTGGTAAAAATTTATTTTCTTTATATACACACATTTATGAAAACATCTAGAAAAATATACAACACATAAGTCTTGGTGGTCTTTGGCAGTTAGAATTCCAGCTGATTTTTATTTTCTTTCTTATCCATTTAAAGTGGTTTCATGTAATAAGCAGATATTGATGTTGTAACTGAAAAAAATGTATTAAACTAAAATTAGACTTTTATGGATGGAATTGAGCGTGGTGAAAATGGTAGTGATAAAAAAGATTGCTATGCTGAAAGTCTCATGAAATTCTTTTTCATTACATGCTAATTCATAAAACTCATAAAAGTTGAGTGAAAACCAAGAAAACCCTATTCTCATGAAGGTAGGACTGATAGCTGTACCATACATAACAGGTTATCTTTCTCATCCATCCAAAATCTACAGATCTTTTAGTAACTGCTCTTTGAGTAGGGTGGTTCTTCTAGCAGGAATCCAACTCTGTTCGTTTTTTCCTTTTTCCTAATTCTGAGGCATGAAACTTTATAGGAGATTTTCATTCTATGCCCAATTGTACATCTCAGCTTACAGCCTCTTTATAGTGACCTTGCTTCCATCAGGCTTCTCCATGCCAGTCCGCCGATTCCCATCCTAAAGTGCCCAAAGAAACATAAACTCCTAACAGGTCTTCTCCTTCTCGTTTTTCCTTTCTTCCATTCAGCTCACACATGCCCACCTAATTTATCCTTTCAAAACGTTACTTTAAATATATGACTCGTATGCTGAAATATCTATAGGGAATCTCTCTGACATGAAAAAACCCATACCCTTTAGCCTAGAATTCAAAGCTCTTGGACGGCTTTGCCTGCTCCAAGTCCCCTAATACAGCCTCAGCTAAACCAGAATAACCCAATCACTAAATGGCCTAGAACCTTAACATTCTCAAGTGTTGGATCTTCCTGTTTCTTCTGCCTGGAATGACTTACCTTGAGGTTTCCATCAATCTGACTCTTATAAGGCCAACTTTAGATTCCACACTTCAGATGCTCTTGGCCCACTCAACCGCTAAGACATCTCCCCCTTTGCTAAAGTCCTGCCCTACCAACTCATTTGTGCTGTGTTTTATGCTACTTGACTTTTTTGGTGCACATGGATGCTTCTTCCCGGATAAATGGTAACTGCCTTATGACTGAGGGTTGAGTTTTACCTTTGGTATTTTAAAATTATCTATAACTATGCCTCTTCAGTAATCCCTTAGGAGTTGACACATAGTAAGTATTTTTTTAATTAACTGAAACCTTAAGCATCATGTTTTCTAAGCGTTTTGGAAAATGTGCAGAAGTATAACACTCCACATTTTTATTTTTTACTAAGTGTTTAAAGATATGTAAGTAATATTTGAGTTAACCATTATGAAAACCACAAAAGTTTACCTTTTGCTCAACTTCCTGTTTCTGAAAATGTCCTTTCCTCATTGAGTGTGTTTAGCTAGAGCATTTAAAAAGTTTGTCCAAAACACACAATCGTGGCTTGCCTTTAGCAGAAATAATGTGTGTTCCTGCTTCTCTTTGTAAATAATTGAATTTGCTTCTGCAGTTCAAGAAGATCGTGGCTTTTTTGTGTGTGTGAAACTGACTTGCTTCTGTTTTGTCCTTATGTGCAGCAGACTATAAAGGCAAAAAAGAAACCCTGTGCAATTGGGATATGGTGAGTAGGGAGGATAATAGAAGAGATTGACATGACTTCCATAGAAGAGTTATTTTTAAGTATAGAGAATGCCTGTCTATCCCCATGCTGAAAGAGCCTTTAGAAAATATTACCAGGATTGAAAGGCAGTGGGGGCAATTCCCATCACCTGGGATAGCTGTGCCAGTCTGCAGAGTGTTGCTGCCATCTGCTGCATGCAAACAGCCATGGTGGGGCTGTCGCCTGGGTCTTGCAGCTGCAGGAAACCCGATGTGTAAGCATTCAGTTAATATTCTGTGGTCATGCATCTGAAATTGTTATACTCTCAGAACCTGGGTGGGTCTCAAAGGAAAATTAGTCAAATATGATGGCTTCAGGCCATAGAAATTTCCAGATATAAGAATCATGAACTAAGCCCTGAACAATACCCAGAGGACAGATTTGCCATATCATCACTAAATAGGTGGCTCAGGTAGCCCAACCCCAATGAGAGGCAAGAATTCTACTGAAAATAAGTCTGTAACACTGGAAAATAAATGACTACTTCTATGTTTCTGAGTTTAAGGACATTTTTGGAACAACTGCTTCACTTTAATACTATAAGAAATAGGAGCATTCTAAATACCCCAAAGAGGATATTGTTCTTAGAGAATTCAATAAATTTAGATTTGTATTGGTTTCTACTTAGGTAAATTCCTCTTAATATGAAAAATGGAGTGGGATCATAGAATCCCTTCTCTAGGCTTGTAATGTGTCCTGATTTAATAGGGATGCCAATGTGCAAATCAGGCTCTTCATAGTGCATCTCCAGGACTATTTTTGCTGCTATGCTTCATAACTTTGATTGACTAGAATTTCCAGGGGCAATGGGAAGAGATGAAGCTACCCAGAGCAGTTATGTCTCTTCCTGCCCTTCCATCAAGGACTTTGAGTTTCCCAGCCTTCCCTGGAAAATCACTGTCAGCACCACCTGATGATCCAATATCCCCAGTGACCTGAAACTCGTGGGAAGTTGGGAAGGGGTGATAATAAAGGTTTGGGGAGCACTAGACTAGGCAAGCAGTAACTACTAGCTGAGGAATAAGTATAGTAATTATCATGGCAAGTATGTGCAGTAGTGGTATAGGGGGCGGTCTGGACATCCAGGAAGACAGTAGCCGTTATTTATTTACATGAAAACCTCTCTTCTCCCATCTAAACTTTAATCTCCTGAATGCCAAAAGCATTTTCTTCTGTCTTAGCATTGTCCATATTCCCTGTTAGCATCATCCATATTCCCTGCAAGTTCTTACATAGGAGAGACTGGTGTATACATGAAGACAACCTGGCCAAAATTATCTCCACCTGACCTGAAAAGAATTCTCATCTCAGGATTACAACTGGCCTTTTCATTTGTCTTTTTCTTGCTAGGTGGTGCCTATATTCTAGTAATGAGATTAGAGTCACAGGATATTTAAATCATTCATATGGTTGCATAAAGACACACATGTTTATTTGTTGTTATTCTTTATCCATCAAACTTATACAGTAGTCCTCAGCCTGATGCTTGTTTTCTGGATGTTGGAGGGTCATGACAGCCTATTTTATCCCAGCCTGAAAAACTAATACAATTAAATCAGAGAATCATAGCAGGGAACAGTCATCATCCTCTTCTATGAATAGCCAGACATTTTACCAAGGGGTCACTTTACTGAAACCTGCTTGCAGTTCTACGTAAATAGAAGTAACTAGGCAGATGTAATAAGCCTAATACCTCACTGATGTGGGAATTCTCTGCCTTTGGATTCTGACTGTGACTGCCTTGCTTTGGCTTAGAAATGGATAAGCTCTTCTGCAGTCAGCAAAAATGGGCTGCAGCCAACATGGTGGGAGACTTCCCTATCTGACCTCCAACCTTCCCAGAGGAGGGGCAGAAAAGTAGCCCTCACTTCTCCACTCCCAGGAAATGTGCATTTCCCTGCAAAGGAGAGACAATAACATTTGGTTTGATAGCTGACACTATTCTCTGTTACTTTATTAAAATTAAATGTGCTAATCCTTTGTTCTTTCACCCCAGGGCAATTATGGAAAGAAAACATATCTTAAGATTGAACAGAAAAACTATTATGAAAGACACCAAGTACACATTTGTTAAATGACTTTGTGCTCTTGAAAAGAAATGTATAAAAAGCACATTGCCAACTGCTCTGCACGATATCCTTTGTTTGGATTTTAGATGCAGCTTGACTGACACAGAGATCCTGAATAAGAGACTCTTTGGATGCTGAAAAGTCTTTTAAAGAAGGTGATATACAGATTTCAGAGAACAATTTCAACATTGTTCTGTTGAAGGTTATACTCAGCCCTGAACCACATTACTTTCCTGTCTACATTTCATTTCCTGGGGGCTTGCCAAGTGATAAACAGACCCAGGCGTGTGTGGTAGATTTGAGGTTTTTTAGCACGAAGTGGGCGGCGGGAGTTTGCTTTAAAACGTCAATTGACTTTATGATCATTATGGAAATGCTGGTGTAAGGTCTTCAAAAGACAATGGAGAAAAAATGGAAATACTGTGCTGTCTATTACATCATCCAGATACATTTTGTCAAGGGTAAGACTTCCAGTTGTCCCTTCCTGTCAGATGGGCCGTTTAGGGGTGGTTGGGGCCTCTGTTCATTTAAAATGCCTTGTGACTGCTGCTGAAATTGATCACCGAAGGGCAAATTGTTACTAAGGGTTTCAGTTATGTATTTAAGTGGCATATATAGGAGAGATGCTAGAATATAGAAATGATCACTAATGAACACTCAAAATAAGAAGGGAATGGGTCATTTGTGCCCCTGCTCTGAGGCATTTTCACCCATTTCTTTTCTAACAGGATCTCTGGAGTAATTGAGAAATTGTGTTTCTTGGAAATGAAATGCTCTCCAAATGGTTGTCAAAACTACTGCGGAAAAATTAAAAATCACAAAGCCATCAACGCTCAGAGATCCTTACTTAACTTTTTTCTCTCTCAAGTACTCTTTTTCTTTTGGATATAACAAGTATTTCTCCTCCAAATACTAAGGCCTCTGGGAGTTGAATACACGTTGAATTTTAATGAGGCATGTGTAGATATGAACCTGGGAGACAAAGTGGAATCCTTGCGGCAGTGGGAACAAGAGCCTACAGGGCCTATTTAAAAATAGAAGGAAGCTTAGTTCTGTATTCCACAGTATGAGAGTATTATAGTAAACCTGAGTGTCTTAAGAATTAACTGTGCTTTTCAGATGTAGCTATGAAAATATTAAGGAGAATTTCTAAATCAAAGGAGATTTTGGAATATAATGCTGTAGATGGGATCAGAGCCATATTTTCAGGCAAAGGATAGCTCACAGGAAGTTACATTAAACGGTACTAACCTTTATCTACCAAACTTTTGCATCCACAAAAATATGACAATTCCCATTTGTCAAGTACTTTTACTTTTAAGATGCTTGTTTCTTCTCAGTTGCTTATCATCTTTTTATCTTTTCCTTTTGTGAACTTCAGTGGTACTTGTCACAATAATATATCATTTCTGTAACAGGATTCCATGTTAATTCTAAAACTGAGGCCAACATTATTGAAGGAATGTCATGGTCTTAATGCTTAACGCATTTTAAGTGTCCTTTATCACTTGATCAGACTGCTGATGGGAAAGAGGCTCTACTTATGTCTAGAATTTCAAGACTTGATTATTAGAGGGGATACTGAGTGGAACCTCCACCTAAGGTTAGATGAGGTCGTTTCAATCCTTATATACTGAAAGTCAAATTTCTTACTCTAATCAACGAGACTGAATTTTGGAGGCAGTTTGGAGGTTATGAGGGTTATAGAAAGACAACAGACTCTTGGCAACTGAATTCATTCTTTTATTGGAGGTGTGA